TGATCTTCCTCACACACACAAAAAATAAGTAATACAATACCTTAAGTATATTGTGGAGCCCAATGCCAAAGAAAACGAATGCAAAGCTATGGGTTTCTGAGAGTATTTTTAAAAAGTGTTTGGGCCAAATCCAATGACAATATCATAAAAGTTCTTTTAGCTAAATCATCAAGACCATGCATCAAAAAGAAGGTTGCTTGATAAGACCAAAATATACTGTGGTAGAGACTGTTAATATTCACCCATATCCATGGGATCCTCTTCATTTCTCATCTTGTCTTACAGTTAGATTCACCATGTGGCTAATTCTGTCCACTGGAATGGAAGGGAAGTAAACTGTTTTATTTCTGGGTTGATTTCTTTCCCCAATATTCTGGCTAAACTTTAAGCCAGAAGATGGTGAGACCCCCGAGACAGAAGAGGCATGTGACAAGAGGGAGAAATAAACTTGTATTAAGCCACAAAGATTTCAGGTTTTATTTGTTGCCATAGGGTAGCCTCTCATATCCTGGCTACTGTATCCAGTAATAGTCACAATGCAAAGAGCAGTGTGTCCATTGGAATAACAGTTTTTAAGTATTCTGACTGCTTTGTAGATATGGAGACAATATCGCTAGTCCAGTTTGTAGGGCAGGTTCTTTGTGTCTTTTCATTTTCTCCCTAGTGAGGTGAACACTTTTCTCCTCTTCCACAATGGTCTGATTACATAGTCTAGAGGGGAGCTATTTGCAATCTGTACTGTGGAAATCAGTGCCACTTGCATATTCTGCTCATTTTCCATCTCATCCGTTTATTTGTGCACAAAACTTTTTAGTAGTATTTTGTGTGCTTGTTTGTTTTTCTTTTAGGATATAGATGCATTCTTGGATTCCTTCAGCTCTTTAGAAAATGACAAGTGGCAGGAGTATATGCTTTAATAAAGAACCATGTGTTTAATGAAGAACAACTTGCTTCTTAGTCTTGATTGGTGTGGAAACAGTCCAGTACGAAAGGTGGGCTTTTTGGTTTCACTTTTATCTTTTAGGCCACACTTATACACCGGGGTGTCTAGACATGGAATACTCTTCGGAGGAGACTGGGAAAGCCCTGTAATGTCATGTTTCTGAAAGCAGCAGTCTCCTGGTGCCAATTTATGCCCACCCTGTAAAAGTGCGTCAAAATGCAGAATTCATTCATTCATTTGTTAATAAATGAACTCAACAAACATTTATCGAGTGCCTAAAATGTGCAAGGCTCTATGTTAAGTGTTAGGGACACAAGGATAAAGACTTGGGCCCCGTCGTCATGGACCATATAGGCCATGGGAAAGAGCCACGCTGACAAATCATTACAAGTGTGAAGAACATTACAGAGGAGGTGGGGTGGTGGGGGTGGTGGGTCGTAGGGACAGTTTAAGGGTGTGAGGAAGGAAACCTGGGTCAGGGGGACACTGTGTCTGAGATGATCACTATGAGGGAATGATGTTTATGTTGAAATTAAAGGATAAGTAGGAGTTAGCTTGGTAGGGGAGGGCATGGAGAATGTTCTAGACTGAGAGAATGGTGAATGTGAAGGCTGTGAGGAGAGGAAAAACTGAATGAGTTGGAGGAACTGAAAGAAGGCCGGTATGGCTGGAGGCAGATGGATCCTCCAGAGTCTAACTTCGACAACAGCATCTTATCACAGTCAGAGGAGCTTGGCAGAAAAGATCGAGTCCCTCACTAGAGATTTCCAAATTCAGCAGGAAGAGTAAAAGAATTGTTTTCTTTCTGATTCTGACTGCTCTCTTCAATATTGTCCACGTTCTGTAGAATGAACTGGATCAAATGCATTATTTTCTTTTTTTTCAGGTTTCTCTGATGGTTGAGCTTACTGTACTCGGCTCAAGCCAAGTACCTGGCCATTCTATTTATTTAGAATCATCTGCGACATATTAACACGCTGGGGAAGTTGAGAGGTTAAATGCTCAAGCTTTCAACAGTTGTAGAATAAATTTTGTGGTGGAGATGATGCTTCATTTCCAGTGTGAATGTTAAAAGATTCGCTCAAAATCCTTGTAAAAAATATCACCATAAGGCCACGTGTGTGTCTGCCCTCTGACCCCGGAAACTGTCATTCTCAAACTTTAGTCAAAACATGGTCTTTTATTTTTTCCTCATTTCATCCCAGAAAACGTGAGAGCTACCAAAATGTTCTATTATTCTGTCTGCACTGTGTGATTATGTTTGCCAGTGGCTTGGAAATGAATCAATTGGACTATTTTAGAAAGGATCTCTTTGCGAAAGCAAACTATAGAAAAATGGGAGAGTGTGTTGTTTGATGACGATCAGTGGCTGGCGAAGCCATGTGTCCTGAAACAAGGAGACTGCCAGGTGCCATCAACCGAGTCCTGGGTGCCAGAGTGATTTGTGGAATGACGCTGCTGTCCCGTGCTCATCTACACGTCGTGGCAGGACACCCTGCGAGGGCAGCTCATTTATCAGGAAGTAGCACCATTTGCAGGGATAATGTCTGCAATTAGAGCCTATTAATCCCGATCGAGAGTGAGGCATCCAAGGTGTGCTGTAATTTGAGAAAGGAGAAGCAACATCTGGAGTCCTGTCATCTTGGTGGGAGAGAGGGTAGTGATAACCTGGAGAAGAGTAAATGCGAGCTTTTGTAAACAGGAAGTAAGTTGCAGGGCAGTTTCTTTAGAGACGGAATTCCGAGTAACTTTATAGATATTGAATAATACTGCTTAGCATTAATTGAGTGTCACGGGCATTGTGCTAAATGTTTACGTGTGTGTGCTTGCTGGAAACTCCCCACAGCCCCACGAGAGAGTATTATTATCAGTCTCATTTTACAGTGGGAGCTTTATAAACATGAGTTGAATGAATGAATCAACGATCCATACAGTGCCCCAGGATGGGGAAACTGAGGCTGAGAGCTACTGATAAGCAGTGACACTGGCCTTTAGCCTCACGTCTTCTGGTTCTCCAGCACATTTTGCTCTTGCTACACCACATTTCCTCACCGACAGAAACACAGGGGATGAAGGATGCTGAAGTAAAGTGTTAGGCTCTAATCCTGTCAGAGTACTTTTTTTTTTTTTTACTCCTGTTAAAAAGCAGGAAAGGTAGGGGCTGGCCGGTGGCTTAGTGGTTAAGTTCCCGTGCTCTGCTGGGAGGCCCAGGGTTCGCAGGTTCGGATCCTGGGCGCAGGCCTAGGCACCACTTATCAAGCCATGCTGTGGCAGGCCTCCCATGTATAAAGCAGAGGAAGATGGGCATGGATGTTAGCTCAGGGCCAATCTTCCTTAGCAAAAAGAGGAGGATCGGCAACAGACGTGAGCTCAGGGCTAATCTTCCTCACCAAAAAAAGCAAGAAGAAAGCAGGAAGGGTAGATCTTTAAGCTCTGAATCAGTCATGGTTGTTGTATAATGTGAACGAAAGGGATCTGGTTTTCCCAGGAAATCAGGGCACTGTGAGGCCACTTAATGGAAGAGGCTATAAGCAAGAACGAGAAGGAAGAACACAGGATAGGAGCATTTACTTAGACTATAGTGTGAGTGGTGCTTCTGGGGGGGCCCAACACAGTGGTGGGCAGGGAGTCTGGGCAAAGTGTGTGTGTGTGTGTGTGTGTGTGTGTGTGTGTGTGTGTGCATGTTTGTTTAATTGAAGATGAACTGAGGACATATTTTTCTTCTTTGTCAAATACTTCTTATATTAGTTTCCAAGGCATTTCCATACTCAACTTTAAAATTTGCCCTACTATTACACTGGGCTGAGTTTAAGGATATTTCTGAAAACTGAACTGACGCAGAAATCCCCAAAGGTCGAATAGACTTAACAACTTGTCCGTGTTGTGACCACAGAGAATGTACATGACATCAATACTCAGTGTTATTCCATTCTGGTTAAAAAATGAAAAATAATAAACTATCAGCTTCAGTAGTTTGTAAATATTTTATTGAGATTTGATTGGAATGGGAAAATTTGAAAAATTTGCTTAACATCGAAGTTATAAAAAATTAGTCTTTTAAAAATTGTTCCTACAGGCAACTTGCTTTGAATTATTACTAAGCAGAAAAAACAAAATCCATGTTAGGGCCAGATGATAGAGAATGAAAACTACATGTGTTTTTTCTAGCAAGCGTTACCAAAGGGGCCCCCATGGCTGGGTACATATTTTGGATTAAATTCACTGTGTTTCCTCCACAGTGCTGGGCTGGTTATCAAATGTGTTATTTTCATGGGGATTTGTGCATTAAAAATCACAGAAACGTGCTTTCTGAAAATATCATATTATATGAATGTTTTATAACATTATGTGAATGTTGGCCATTTTGGGGAATGATTTTAACTTCAAGATAATGATACTCAGTGTAATTAGTGTGGGCATCCAAAGGGTAGTAGGATGGAAAGTTCATTTCATTCACCCGTTCCTGAACGTTCCTTTTTGTGGTGTATGGGAAACGCCCCTCTACTGACTGAACTGTATTTTACTGACAAGTATAGACATTAGAGTCAAACTTCCTGGGTTTGAACTGTGGCTCCATCATGCCTTAACTGCTCAAATTTGGGCAAATTATTTAACCTCTCTGTGTCTTGGTTTGCTTCTCCATTAAAATGAGAATGATAACAATACCTACCTTGTTAAATTGTCATGAACATTAAAATGAGATAATATACATAATGGGCTTGGAATTGTGTGGCACATGATAAGCTATTAATAAATATATATTATTGCTATTGCCATTTCTAATTTTCTTTTCCTAGCCTTTCCCCTCAATCTTTCCTCCATCATTCTTGCATCAAGCATTTCTTCACACCTTACAACATTTACTGTTTGATCTTTAAGTTTCCTTTCAACTCTGAGCTTAGATTCTAGGATTCTTTTATGTGTCTGGCATTGCAATAGGTGCGCTGGGGAGTACGAGATGACTAAGATGTGTTCTCTGCTCTCCGATTACAGCCCTGCAAAGGAGGTAGGACAGTCTCAGCTAATGGCTGCATTAGGCAGGATGTCATAAGTGCTCTTACATGTGTATAAAATGCATTGGTAATACAGGAAGAGGGAGGAAAGATAAATTTCAATTGGAGAATGAAATATGATCTGGGAAAGCTTTTTGGCCAGAGTGGCCTTTGCATTAGATCTTGAATGAGGATCTTTTAAGGTGAGGGATACAAGAGCAAAAGCACTGAGGCCAGAAAGCAAAGAAGGAGTCTGGTGAATCTGAGTAATTCTGTGAAATTGGGACCTATGGAATCATGCCTGGCAATGCAGCCTAGGAATCAGTGATTCTTAGAGAAATAGCATGACATGCTAAGGGCTTTGGAATTTATTTTACTGATAATGAGAAGCCATCAAAAGTTAAGAACCAGAAGGGGCAAAATCAGTCATTGTTTCTTCTTTCCTTCGATTCTGTTCCCTCTCCTGTTCCTTCTTTTTCTTTACCGTTGATTAAACGGTTGCCTTTCACAAAAATACTTGGCCAACCCTACCTAGTCTTTCTCTTTGACTCACATTAGACCTGCTGTAACCCACTCTGGACAGGGGTGGGGTGGGGTTGGGGGGGTGCTGTGTCGTCTGTTAAGGTTATTTACTCTTGCTGAGGTATTAATTACATTTACATATTCTAAATGACAGATGCAAAGAGAACATTCTGTATAATATATAGTCTAATGACTTGAGCTTCTTCTGTGATTAGTTTTGAATAAAAACATTGTAGATCAAATTTGCCTTGGGTCAAATGTTGATAGTATAAACTAATTAGTGGCTGTTCGCTTATATTAGCATAAAATAGGCATTCTTTCGAAACAGTGCTCCATTTTTCAGCACTTGCAATACAAATCTATAAGAAGCACAAGTTGAAGGTAACTATATATGAAAAAAAACTGCATTCTGAATCCACAAAAAACAATGTGGTTTTTCTGTTGAGACTGTTGTACTGCCATGTAAATTTGTTTCTTCAGTCAGCATTATAGTTTAGTATAAGAAATATAAAATTTCAAGGTGTTGTTGTGAATGGGACTCTATTTAATGCCCCCAAATTCAGCTATATTCTGTTAAAGTAATTAAACAAGGAGACCATTAGACCCAGGTGGCTCTAATGCCTTGGGAGCCTATGTAAACAAATCGAAACCTAAGCCCGAGTCAACACACTTGAATCTGAGAAAAGGAAATTTAAGAACAGCTAATCACAAACAGCCAATGAGGCTTTCCCAAATGAGGCAACCTCTTAAGCTAGAGCCAATCAAATAGTTTCCTTGCCTTGCTTCTTAGTCTTTCCATTTGGTGCTGCCCAATAAACTCTTGTAAATTTTAATGTGCCTCAGTTTATCTTTTAACAATTCTTAAGCCAAAAAAGTTAATTTTTTAAGGAGTATTCTGTCTTTTGTTTTACTAGAAAGTATGAACTAGCCTTTACCTGTCTCCTGCTTTTCTGTGTTCTTAGCAAGACCTCCCCGAGTCTGTTTCCTTCTCTATAAAGGAATCATTATAAAAGTAGCTATTCATAGAAATGTGATTATAAAGTAAGTTATGGATACAAAGCTTTTCGAATATGTCTGACACACAGCAAACTTTGTGTTCCAGTAAATGTACTATTTTATTAATAAGGATTAAGTTGTTTTCTTTTCTTGTTAATTTTCTTCTTTTATTATCCCAGGTCAGTTTTTTTTTTTAAATGCACTTAATTTTTTTAGAGTAGTTTTAGGTTCACAGCAAAGTTGAGCAGAATATCAGAGAGCTCCCCCAAACCTTCCTTCCCACACATGCACAATCTCTTCCACTATCATCCTACACCACCTGTGTGATTCATTTGTTACAATCTTTGAACCTCCATTGACAGGATTTTTTAGGGCAGTGGAACTACTCTGTAGGATACTATAATGGTGAATACACGTCTTTATACATTCGTCCAAACCCTTAGAATGTACAACACCAAGAGTGAACCCTGATGTAAACTATGGACTTTGGGTGATAATGGCATGTCAGTGTAGTTCATCAATTGTAACAAATGTACCACCGTGGTGGGGGATGTTGACAGTGGGGGAAGCTGTGCAGGTGCCCTGGCAGCAGGTATATGGGAAATCTGTGTACTTTCCTCTCAATTTTCCCGTGAAGCTAAAACTGCTCTAAAAAATAAAATCTATCAAAAAAAATCATCTGTGCTGTACCTTTTCATCCGTCCCTTCCCCCAATCCCTGGCAACAACTCATCTTTTTATTGTCTCCAAAGTTTTGCCTTTTCCAGAATGTCTCATAGTTGGTCTCGTACAGTATGGAGCCTTTTCAGATTACCGTCTTTCACTTAGTAATACACATTTAAAGTTTCTCCATGCCTTTTCTTGGTTTAATAGCTCATTTCTTTTTAGCACTGAATAATATATTCTGTTGTCTGAATGTTCCACAGTTTATTGATCCATTCATTTACTGAAGGACATCTTGGTTGCTTCTAAGTTTTTTTTTTTTTTTTAGTGAGGAAGGTTGGCACTGAGGTAACATCTGTTGCTAATCTTCCTCTATTGCGTATATGGGACGCCATCTCAGCATGGCTTGATGAGTGGTGTGTAGGTATGCACCCGGGATCCAAACCCATGAACCCCGGGCCACCAGAGCAGAGTGGGCAAACTTAACCACTACGCCACCAGGCTGGCCCCTGCTTCTAAGTTTTGGCAATTATGAATAAAGCTGCTATAAACACCCATGTGCAGTTTTTTGTGTGGATGGAAGTTTTCAACTTATTTGGGTAAATACCAAGGAGCACAATTGCTGTGTTGTATGGTAAGAGTGTGTTTAATTTTGTAAAAGAAATTGCCAAACTCTCTTCCAAAATGGCTCTACCATTTTGCAATCCCACCAGCAATGAATGAGAGTTCCTGTTCCTCCACATTCTCACCAGTATTTGGTATTGTCAGTGTTTTGTATTTTGGCCATTCTGATAGACATGTAATGGTATCTCGTTGTTGTT